GCATTTTTTCCGCCATTTTGACTTACGTTGCAATATATCAGAAAATCCAAGAAATTCAAAAACCAAAAATCATCAAGAAACGCAATGAAAAATGCAGTGTTCTGCACACCTGAGTAGAACGGGACTGAGAAGTCTCTTACTGGAAAGGTTTGAGAGTTATTGTTTACTCTTATACCGGACAAGGTATCGAGGCAATAAAATTTTTGGCGCCCATTATCGGACATGGTATATGGACAACCAATTAATTGTTAAAATTGGATATTGGGTTCATGAGTAGAGGGCATCCCTATGGACCCCTAAGAGTACTAGTAAGTAAGTAAGAAATGAAAGTTATCGTCTCTTGTTCTCTTATGTGTGAAAATGAAAATTGGTATGGATATGAGCATTCATAGGTTGTTTTTTGAAAAACTTGTTACGTTAAGTATCAAACAAATATCTTTAAGTTAAATGTATTTAATTAAAACAATGACTTAATTAGTTATTTTTCTGATTTTTACCAATATTCAGTTTTTCATATCTATTATTAGTATGACATTCTTACTGGGTTAGTGTAACTCACTATTTCATTAACTATTTCATATTATAAAGATTAAGATTCAGATCTCGATCAACAAAAGAGTTGTGAGTAGTTCACCACCTGGATTTCCTTCAAGTATTAGTAAAGGTTGTCTTAATATGCTTATTTATTTGCTCATTTTTTTTTTCATTTTTTTAATTATCGTTTGTCTTTTGAAAGAACATTTTCATAACCCTATTGGACATTCTAAATTATTATGTAAGAAATGTAAACTCTAATTCTATTATTCGCTTCTATATTTAAATTATAAATTTATTTCCTTTAAAGTTTCGAATCTTTACTGGATATACGTGTCGTTTAAGGCTAAATAGTAAATAAAATAAATGATATGCATGAATTAATGATGTTGAATAAGAGAGTTTACCGAGTATTATGAAAAAAAGTGTACGGATTTGGTGCATAAGGTGAACCCTACCGTGGACATTACCCTTAGTCGTACGGGACTAGAAAGTCTCATATCAGAAAAATTAGTTTAATTACACTCATACTGAACGAGGTATTGAGGCAGTTATGTGTTGTGGTACCCATTTCTAGACGGGGTATGGGGATGACCGTTTGATTATAAAGAAAATGTTCGTAACCACGTGTAGTGGGGATTCCTATGGACCCCTAGTTACACTGGTAGAAAAAGGTAAAATGATAGAGTAGAGATGAATATTGTAAGGAATTTGATTTTAGGAAATAGTGAATGGTCAATTGTTATATATCTTTTGAAAGGTATACTGTTATTCTGATTTTTATCTTAATGAATAACATTTGAAAAGTTACAGGGTAGTCAAGAAAATACTAACGTTTTCAGTGAAACGAATAATGAATGCACTAACATTCGAGTTTTATTAAAAACGAGCTTGATTGGTTGTTTTATATTTTCTACGACAATTTAATTTTCTGTATCGGTGGTAAGACGTTGATATTCTTACTGAGTTAGTGTACCTCATCTATTTCTTATTAATAATTTCATATTAGGACGACCAATACCCAGATTCTAAATAGCAAGAGACTAGTTAATAGTTTACGTCTTCCGCTTCGTCAATTTCGAATATAGATTAATCATATTTATTTTCTTTTATGTTTTTCTTATTTGAGTTTCAAAGACATTCTCATAGCTCCTATTGGATATTTTAAATAAACGTGTAAGGAATGTAACCTTCAAACTTTAATTGCTTATGCGAAATAATAAATTTCAATATTACTTATTTTACTATTACTGAGTTATAAACTTGAAATCTTTAATAGATGTTTGGGTTTTTACACATTTAGTCGTTGTGGTCATACAGCTGAATAAAAATTTCAAATGATTATCAACAATTTCATGAGAAATTACTTTTGAGCTAGTAAATTAGTGATAAATCTCGATTATTTAAGTAGGAGGTTCATTATTATTATTTTTTCTTTATTAAGTTAGTAGTTGACTTTTGAAATACAATCAATTTTTGAACTACTCGAAAGGAGAATGTTTTAGTCAATGTAAAACATAGCAATTTTGAAAAAAAAAATTTGATAATTGATTCGTGGAATAAGAATAGTTGTGGGAACACTAAATGTAACTAATAATATTACTCGTTATATATGACTTTCATAGACATTTTTTTTATTAAAAAATAATATGTTTTATATTTAATATAAATATTAAGTTAAACAATTGATTATTTTTAACTTATTGTTATTATGTGTTGCAAATCATTTTGTATGTATATTTAAAAACTTAAATTATATATAAACTATAAAATACCAACAAATCTACAAATTGGTAAATAAAAAAAAAAAAGAAAAGAAAGAGGGAAATAAATGACATGTAATACTTTTTGTCTTTGGTGGTACTTTTTGTCGTTGCATTAATTACTCATGTTCTTGTTTTTTCATAATTTTATAGATGTTGCCTCACCAATAATTTGCATTTACACAACAATTAAATACTAGGCAATCTTGTTAGTAGGTAGACATCAATTATATGTTTGGCTTTTCCTTGTTGGGTTTTCTCATGCATGCTTTTGTGAATTCATGAACAGTTTGTTAGTTCCAATTCTTATGTTATTCCTCCCATATTTTCTTAGTCATTGATCCTGATATATAAAATTGCCTCGAGCCACTTTTATTTTGAATACTCGCAAATGGATTTTCAATTCTTGTTAAAAACTATAGATCGGTGTATAAAAATTTGAATGTAAAAGCCGAGATATTTAAAAAATAGAAGTTATTGTACAATGTTAGTATAATAATCAAATTAAACAATAAGGTAGAAATAGAACCGAAGTTGAACCTAAGTGACTTTATGAAACAATAGTATTAATATAGTGGTGGGAGGAATGATCTCTCTTGGGAGCAATGTTATGAAAAAAAAATATATATTATAAAAAAATGAATTATAAGAGGCAAGAGATATAAAAATTATTAAAAGAGTTCGGGACATTAGTTGTAGAATAAAAAATAAACGATACCGAGATAAATATTTAAAAGTGTAGAAATAATAAAAATTATAACGTAGAAAAGGGCGAAGGAAAGTCGTTCCAATATTTGAAACTCAATTAAAGTAGAAAGGATTAGACTTCACATTTTTTTAAAAAAATTGTTATAAAATGGGTAATGACATATGATTTTTAATTACAAATAACAAGATATAAATAAAAAAATAATAATTTTGATAATAAAATAATAACGCTGTAATAATAATGATAAATTTCTATTAATCCAAAAATAAAAAATAAAAGTTACTACGAATAGAATTAGAATATTATACATGAAGTATCCAACATTATTTAAATATTCAAATAAATAATGTGAGAAAAATTTTAGAGTTGATCCATATTAAAATTAATAGAAGTAGGAGGAAGAAAAATAATTTTTCGGCAATTATTTGTATCACCCGAACTAATAATTTTTTCTACTGAATTTTTTGAGCTATTTTCTTGATGAGTTTCGGGTCATTTTTAATTTTTTTAGCACTTACTAGATTATTCATAATGTATCTTATATTTTTTAATGAAAGATTATAGCGCAAAAAGATTCTAAAAGCGTTCGTGTTCATTGATTGTTGCTAATCTTGTAATAGTATAATTTAAGTACATTTTTAGGCCAAAATGAGCTTCTTTCGTTAGGATGTTTCAATCAAAGTTCATGTTAATGGGAGAAGAAAAACTATAAGTTTAAATTTTTTTTTTTGTATGAAATAGTATAATCTAATTATAAGATATTATTTTGACGAAAATTTACTTAAAAAATAGTTTTAATAATTTTTAAAACTACATTCACTTTTAGAAAATATCTATAGTTAAATTGGAGGCAAACACAAGATGGAATTAGTGATTCCATAATTTTTTAAAATGTAATTAGAAATCAATTCATGCTTATATTGAGGTGGAAAATAAAAATCTGTATTTTTAAAAAAATTAATTTAGCATAAAGTAAAGAAGTATGAATAATTAAAATAAATTAAATTGATTTTAAAATTAAAAATACCATAAAATCTCTGTTTTAAAAGAATTATTAAAAGATGATACTTTTTTTTAAAAAAGAATTATTTATTTTATATTAAATTAATAACTCTAACTCTATAAATTTACTAATGAATTAAATTATTAATTTATTAAATTAATCATTATGATTCTTTCACAGTCGACTTAAAATATAATTATAAAGTTAAAAATTCAACATCATTAATAAAATTTAAACTTATGACTTTTAAAAATGATTCGATAATCTTCACTGTTAAATAATATGTTGGCCGTAAAAAAAGATTTAATTTTTAATGTAAATCTGCTTAAATATTTTATCATTGAATAATTGGTTTTACATAAAATTACGAACCCATATGGAAAAAAAAGATCTACCAGGTTCAATTATAAACGAAGTCTGTCAAAATGGAGAATTGAATTAAGAAGAAAAAGGGGGAAAGCCGTGAAGGGAAAGTAATCAAAAATTCATAAGAGGAGTTGGTAGCATATAAGCCGGGACAATGAGTTTGTTTCCGATTGGAGAATGAAAAAGGACATGGGTGGAGATGCTTTAATATGCTCTTTTAGATTAGACATCTGTCAACTCTCCTCTCCCTCACACGCGCAATGCACACTCTCTCTGTCTTGTTTCCTTTATTAATAATCTTCAAAAAAGAACAAAAAAAAAAATCACTTTCTTCTTCACTCTCAAGTCTCAACGCCTGGGATTCCTATATAAACAAGAAAAGAATGAAGAAAGACTCTCTTAAGTCTTGCATTTGATTGGGATGCTATTTTTTTTTTTTTAATGGTAACGATAGCGAATATATCTTCTCTCCGTGGTGCTTTGATGAGTAGGCTGCGATGTTTTCGTTTATGAGTGGTTTAAAGACTCTGCAAGTAAACGGGATGGAGAAGAAGACTGAGTATTTTTAATTGACCAGATTAGGGTGGTGCTTTGTTTTTCTTTTTTTTTTCTTTTTACTTTCTTTTACTTTTCTTGATCGTTTTCTGACTCTGAATATTTTAGAGAGAAATAAAAAAAACGCAAGAGGCTGAGAAGGGTTGCCTCAGATCCAGGGAACTCAGGTAATATGTGCTAAAGGGTAGTGACTTTTTTAGGGTTTTCTTGTGATTCTTGAGACATCAACTTTCTTGGGGTTCTTTCACATGACACTTTTTTTCTCCTTCTTTCTTGTGTTTAAAGATAAGGCGTTTACTCCAACCTCTATTTGATTTTTCTGTTTTTTCTTTTTTTTGTAGATTTTAAATATATTTTCTGCTTTTTCCTTTCTCTTAGCTGTATAGTTGATGGGGGAAAAGATAAAGAAAAGTCCAGAGGAGAAGTTGGAGAGACTACTCAGGTCGAACCTATCTATTTTGGTCTACAAATGGCACTCTGGATCTGTTCTTGTTGACCAGATCTGACTACCTCATATCGTTTTCACAACCTTTTTCTGCCTCACCAATAAGTTCCTTCCCCTGAGTTTGCCTCTTCTTTTGGTTCATATATATCGTGCTTTTAAGGCATGGAAAATGGTCTCTTGAAACCCATGCTTCACAGTCCAATATTATTCTTCATTAGAGACGGCCATAAAATTAGCTGAACAATGACAGGTTCTTTAATTCTTGGGAGTTCGGAGGGTCAATTTTTGTACTACCCGGATAAGGATTTTGATGGAGGAGATGTCTCCGGCGGTTGGAGTGCCATTTCAAGTAGGTAATCCAGTCTGTGATAACCCCAGCTTAGCTATTCGTATTGGTTTCACAGGACTGAAGCTCATGGGGGATACAGATGGTTTGTCATCTAAGGTTTCTGCTCAGTCTACTTCTGGTGAAGATGAAGATTGTGATTGTAGTAACTTGGAGAGTGAAGTTAGTGCATTAGTGGTGCCTGTACAAGAAGAGACCCCTAAGATTGGTGCTCCTCTGTTGGATATAGTATTGGAAGATAAAGGCACTTGGGTTGACACCGATGATTTGATAAAAGAAAGTGAGGAGGATGATTCTTTAATATTGGAGGGTGATCAGATTCTTGATAGTTCTTGTTCACTTTCAGTGGCAAGTGAAACTAGCAGCTTATGCGGGGAGGATTTATTGCTTCTCGATGCAGCTTCTGATTTAGGAATAGCTAATGCTGTAGAGAATGAGAAGACCATTTCCAGTTTAGTTATTACTGCTAACAACAGTGATTTTCATGAGTCGAATATCGGTCAGGGGAATGTGACTGATCCTCTTTCTATGGCAATAGACCTTGAGGGAATTGGAGATGGATCCAAACCCAAGCCATCTGCAGTTGCTCTTCAATTGGCTTCAAGTGGAACGGTTGGACGAAGTGTATTTGAGGTGGAATATAGTCCCCTGTGGGGATTTACATCCGTATGTGGAAGAAGACCAGAGATGGAAGATGCAGTTGCAGCAGTAACTCAGTTTATGAAAATTCCCATTCAAATGCTTATTGACGATTTGTTATTAGATGGCACAGGAAATTGTTACGCGGACCAAACTGCTCATTTCTTTGGTGTTTATGATGGGCATGGAGGTTCGCAGGTACTGTTTTCCTTTTTCTTTGTGCTTATTGTGTATGTGTTTTCCTCTGCCAAATTTCATGCATGAGGGTCCTTTTTATTGATCACGTTAGTTCAGGTTGCAAACTACTGTCGTGATCGGGTCCATTGTGCTTTGGCGGAGGAAATGGAGTCTGTTAAGGAATGCCTGAGTGATGGAAGTATTAAGGATAGTTGCCAAGAGCAGTGGAGAAGGGCATTTACTAACTGTTTTGTTAAGGTAGATGCTGAAGTTGGAGGAACAGCTAATCTCGAACCTGTTGCCCCAGAAACTGTTGGCTCTACTGCTGTTGTTGCAATTATATGCTCTTCCCATATTATTGTGGCAAACTGTGGAGACTCAAGGGCCGTTCTATTTCGTGGGAAAGAACCAATGGCACTATCTGTGGATCATAAAGTAAAGAGACTTCATCAATTAGTCTTGCATTCTTTTGTAGTTTATAATCGAGTAACTATTTTCATTTTGGTTTTCTGTTGTTGCATTAGCCGAATCGAGAAGATGAATATGCAAGAATTGAAGCTGCCGGAGGGAGAGTTATTCAGTGGAACGGGCACCGTGTTTTTGGAGTTCTTGCAATGTCAAGATCTATTGGTATGTGTTCAATAGCTGATTCGATTTTTTTGTTCATTTGGATGTTGATTTCGTACTTTCCATACTTGCAATATCTTGGCATAGTGGCAGGTGTTTCATGTTGGAGTTGTTTGATCATACAGTAACGAGCCTGTATATAGAAAAAAATTCGTAGAAATCTCTATGATTTTGCAGATGCTTGCCTCTAAAATAATGGTATCAGGTTCATTCTTCTTTATTTGTGAAAACGGCACCCACTGTGTTGTGGGTGAGAGAAGTTTAGGGTCAGGAACTTAAGGTAGAAAGATCAGGTGACTCTTCACGGATTGTTATAGCTGCTGGCTTAATGGTGCTTTTTAATTGGTATCAAATAAATCCTTCCCCCTTTTGTCTTTGGTGGTACTTCTGCAGTTGTATTAATTACATACACCTGTTCTTGTTTTTCATAATCTGACTGATGTTGCCTTCATTTTGCACAA